AAATCCTCTAACACAAGAGATGAAGACTTAAAGCAATCAAAAAGAAAGAAAAGGAACATATAGATAAGAGACCCAGTATAAGACCAGCAGAAGAAAAGTTAAAGAGACTTCCTTAGGGACAGAAAAGATGGTGAATCTACGACACAAGAACAGGATGATATGGAAAAAGAACACTTAGAGAATAAGAAACATATCTTACCAAAAAAAAATGGTGGAAGAAACAGAAAATGTGTAGAAAGGTTGGCATATAAGGTGGAGGAAATTTCATGGAAAATAGAATAACATGCCAAAGAGATGGAAACTGGGAAAGAAAGGATTAAACATCTATTAGAGAATGTTTAGAAGTCCAACATCTATTTAATAGAAGCTCTAGAGAGAACAGAGAAAACTGAAGAATTACCAAAGGTATGTATGGTACAAGAAATTTTCCAACTAAAGAGCAGATGGCCGACTGTAAGGGCCCACTGAGTCCCTAATATAATAATGAAAAAAGACTAAATCAGGGCAAATTTTCAAGACATTCCAGAAGAACTGGGTAAGAAGTTCCAGAAACTTCCAGACAGAAAATACAGAGGAATTAGAATGTCATTGGATTTTTCAACATCAACTCTGGAAACTAGAAGACAATACAGTGATACCTTTAAAATTATGAAGGAAAGTGATCTCTAAGCTAGAGTTCCATGTCCCACTAAACTACTGAGTGGAAAGATAAATTATAAATCCAGACCACAGCAGGGCATGGAGGGCTCCAGGAGAGATGTCACCAAGAAAAGAGAAATAGAACTGATAGATTGCCTGGTGTGATTAATTGCACCAAGAGGAAGAAAGTTTGGGTTTCAATTTGTGACTAGTATGTGTAATATGATAAAATGATTTTTAAAATGTCAAGTTTTAACTGAGAAGGAAAAGAAAACAATTGTATAACTAGAAAAAAGTTGTAAAAAATGCAATCTTAGTATACTGCATGGCTCAGCTGTGTATTAACATTTATTTTATTAAATAAATATTTAATGTTGATATAACTATACCAGGAGCTGAGGAGTAAGAAAAATATATGTGTAGTTAGTATAAGAGAGTTAAGTTTTCTTTTTCTGTATTAGGAAGTCAACAAAGTATGTCTAAAAATGAAGAAATCAAGAAGTAAAATAGCTGATAAAGGCATTAGAATAAATATGAAGAGGGCACCTGGGTTAAGCGTTTGACTCTTGATTTCAGCTCAGGTCATGATCTCATGGTTTGTGAGATTGAGCCCAGCTTTGGGCTCTGTGCTGACATTGCTGAGCCTGCTTGGGATTCTCTCTCCCTCTCTCTCTGCCCCCTCCCCTGCACTCGCTCACTCTCTCTCTCTCTCTTTCTCAAAATAAACACATTAAAAAAAATAAATATGAAGATTCATATTAGCAGAAACATATAAGAATTCAAAATTTTGGCCAGGGTTTTGGGAGTGGGAAGGTCAGGTAAGGGATTGCTGTCTTTTGTTATAATTCTTACAAAACTATTTAACTTTTAAGACTATGTACATGTAGTATTTTGATTTTAGAGGGTGAACTGCATATGTTCCAGAAATATTTGCATTGAAGGCACAACAGCTCAATAGTCTATTATTTCAACACATATAAAAAGGCTATTTCACATCATAGCTAATCCACTCTCTGGGAAACATTAAGTAAGACTTAACGTTTAGAGTAAGTTTCATTCTGACATACTAAAATGAATCTTTTTATTTTTTAGTATCATATTTCCCTTTATTATTAAGGGCAAGTGTATCACCAAAATTAGTTATTTTAGGGCCAGCTCAGAAGTTCTCAACTGGGGAAGATTTTTCCCTGCAGAGAATATTTGGCAAAGTCACAACTGGGGGTGAGGGGCAACTATTGGTATCTAGTGGATGCAAGCCAAGAATGCTGCTAAACATCCTACAATGGACAGGACAAACCCTGAAGAATTATCCATTCCCAAATGTCAGTAGTGCCATGGTTGGGAAACCAAGCTCTGAGTCTTTGAGGATTATTTCATCAGAATGCTAAACATAAAGATTGATGATATGCAAACATTTTGCAATTTAGGACTGACTCAGCTAAATATCTTGGTGCAATGCTGGAAGCAGTCTGGCTGTAAAACACATCTTTGGAAGTGAGAATGGTAAGGTAAAGACAAAAGGTATAATAAATGATAACAATAATAATACACAGTGCTTTGTACCTCAATAATCTCTTTCATCCATGGTTCCTAGGGCATTTTATAGACTAATAATAACTACTCTCGTACTCATATACTACCTTTTATCCAAGGATCTCAGGCACCTTCACAACTCTCTCACAATGTAGGAAGTATCATTATCCCCATTTTACACGTAAGTAAACAGAGGCACAAAAGTTAAGCAACTTGCCCAAAGCCACAGGCGTCAGGAGTAGCCAATTCCTGACTCAGAGCCTATTAATACTAAGAGTACTAGTCTGAGAGTGCAGTGATAAATTTATGTGACATAAGTGTTATTCTAGTTCATTCTATGTCTATCATTTTCAAATTAATATTGTGTATCCAGTACCTTATCTTTTTGCCTGCCTTCACCCCTCAACTCCCTCCACCCCCGTTTTCAGAGACCAAAGTCTGTTTGATATCTATTTAGTAATAAAAGGGACTATATTTACTGAGTGCTTTCCTTGGACCAAGCACACAGTGCCATGTCTTAAAACAACTTAAAGATATATGCTGCTGTTGCTGATTTTGTAGTAAAGAAAGCCGAGTTTCAGAGAATTCAAATAACACATCCGAGATCTCTCAGCTACTCATGTATTTATGTTCAGGCACAATGGATCCTCTCTCCACTGTATCCAGCAGCCCTTCCAGGGAAAATCCTTTGGTAAGTTACAAAGCATATTAATGCGACTGTGCTTAATGCCCGACTCTCCTTCTACCCCCTTAAAACCCAGAAAATAAAATACTGTAGTGTCTGTAACTGAGGACTTTCAGGTGGCATACCCAGGTTGGTACCAGCTAGGCTCAGTCTTTGAAATCAATTCCCAAGGAAGGCCTTTGATTTTGTAGGGATTTTTCCAGAGCTCTCTCCCTGTTATGCACATGTTTCAGCCCCAAAGCCAGACCAAAGACCAGAACTGTGTGAATTTGCCTCTGAGAAATAGCATGTGAATCACTTTCTCCCGATCTTATTCTTAGGGCAGGCGCACACTGATTGCCCACCCACCATGTGCCACCTGAGCAAAGCAGGAATACTAAGTAGGAATAAAGATTTCTGTTAGGTAAGAGTGTGACTCAGGGCTCGCCTACTTTTTTTTTTTTTTTAACAAAATGGTGACCTGGCATTTGTAGCCCGAGACAATGATGTGCCCTGGCACCACCTGTATGCAGTGAGTTCTGTCCCTTCAGGTGCGGGACAGTTTGCAGTCCACGCAGCCCTGATCCAGAAATGTTAAATGACTTGCATTTGAGGATAAAATATACTGTCTGGTATGTTAAAAAAACAGAAAAATCAGTCAATCACTGCCCCAGCCCACCTGAAATCAGCATCAACGCAGCTTTCATATTTGGGTAGGGAGCCTTGCTGCTAAATTCACTCTCTGTAAAGAAGAGGTGTAGCGACAGGGCTAAAAGGAGATTTCCAAATAGGAATAAGATGCCAATGCAATACACTGTCAAAATGAGTTTTCAGTTTTCTCCTGCAAGCCTAAGATACTAGTAAACCCTTGATAATTCGCTCGTAAGTTAAGCCCCTCCTTCTTTCAGCCGACCCTTTCACCCAGAGGCCACCGCCTTTTCAGAAGGAAGGGTTTAGGTTTGTTTCGTATTTTGTCCTGCTCTCGTACGTCTGAAAAGCGGCAGCGACCAGGAAAAGTGACGCGCGACTTTTTTCCCATCCTGGCTAGTCAGGCCTGAATCATCACAAGTTGATTGCATTTTCCCCCTCGGCCAGCAGCATGCGAGATTTTCCCTCGAAGAATAGGTCTTGTACTTAAAAGGAAGAGTGGTGGGAGACGGGGAGGCGGAGAAGAGGAGCGGGGTGAAGGGCGTGGAGCGCCGTCCCGCCCGGAGTGCGAGCCGCCGCCGCGAGGCCGCGAGGCCGCGAGCCCAGGAATGCGCGGTCGGACAGGCGGGCGCGGGGCGGGCTGCGGCGGCGGGCGGGACGAGGCGGCGCGCACCTGAACGCCGGGGGCGGGGCGTCGGCGGGCACGACCCCCCCCCCCAACTGTGCGCCGCGCCCCTCGCGCGCCGTCTCGGCCCTTTCCGCCCGCGCTTCGGCGCCGCTCGGCTCCCCTCCCGCCCTTCGCTCCCTCCCTCTTTCCCTCCCTCCTGGCCCGGGAGAGCCGGGAGCTCCGACCGCAAGTTTGCCGCAGCTCCTTCCGCGCCGCTGCGTCGGCTCACCTGGCCGCCGACTCCCAGACCCGCGCCTCGTCCCCCCAAACTCCTCCCAGGTAAGGGGCTGCCGGGGCAGCCCGCGCCCGACCCGCGCACCCGTCCTCCCGAAGCGGCTGGACCGCTGGTGTCTGTGCGCGTCCAGCCTCCTCCGCAAGCCGCCCAGGGGCTTCGCGCCTCGCCCAGGCATGAAGGTGTTGGTGGCGGGGACCTTCGGCCGACGTGGCCGCGGGGAGGGCAGGAGAGCCAACGCGCCGACAGGTGGCGGGGTCTGGCCCCGGTCCCCCTACCGCCGCAGGCGCAGACCCCGGTGGGGATGAGGCGGGCGGACCGGGGGTGGGGACAGTCCCTTTCTCCTCCCCTCGAGGGGCGGTGATCGCCCGGGCCCGCCGTGTAGGTGCGTTGGAGAAACTTTGTAGGGTGGGGACTCGGCAGCCACTTGCCGGCGGGGACTGGTCACCGCGCTCCGCGGGGGCGGGGGGCTCCGAGGCGGGTCGCGGGGCAGCCCCCTCAGGCCAGGCGAGGACCTTAACGCTTCCCTTCCCCGCCCCCTTTTGTGTTTCCCCTCAGACCCGCCGGCCGCCGCGGGAGCCGCGGCCGCCCCCGCGCCCGGGGGTCGTTCCCTCGCATCCTCCCGGCCGCGGGAGGGCAGAGGCGGCGGCGGCCGGAGCCGGGCCGGGCGGCCTGAGGTGAGAGCCCGGCCGGCCCCGCTGGGAATATGGCGACCGGTGGCTACCGGACCGGCAGCGGCGGCGGCAGCACCACAGACTTCCTGGAGGAGTGGAAGGCGAAGCGCGAGAAGATGCGCGCCAAGCAGAACCCCCCGGGCCCGGCCGCCGCGGGCGGGGGCAGCAGTGACGCGAGCGGGAAGCCCCCGGCGGGGGCGTTGGGCACCTCGGCGGCCGCGGCGGCCAGCGAGCTCAACAACAACGTCCCGGGCGGCGCGGCCGCACCTGCCGCCCCCGGCTCCGGGGGCGTGAACTGCGCGGTGGGCCCCGCGGCGCTGCCCCGCTCCGCCCCCGGCCCCCGGCGGCCCGAGGACGAGCCGCCTCCCGCCTCGGCGGCCGCGGTCTCCACCTCGGGGGCACCGCCGGCCCGGGGCGACGACGAGGAGCGGGACGGCGCCCCGGAGAAGGGCAAGAGCTCGGGCCCCAGTGCCAGGAAGGGCAAGGGGCAGATCGAGAAGAGAAAGCTGCGCGAGAAGCGTCGCTCCACCGGCGTGGTCAACATCCCCGCGGCCGAGGTGAGCGGGCGGGGGCCGCGGAGGGAGCTCCCCGGGGCCCCGCGGGGACAGGGTTGCCCGGCTCTAGCTCGGACTTTTTATCCTTTCGCTGAGTTCAGCAGGCAGAGGGTGATGGAGGTTTACTGTGAACAAATGCTTCCTGGGAAGTTCCCCAAACCCGAAGTGGGACACGTGGTTTTCAGGCTTCCTGGCTGAGGTCGCAGATTCAGGATCCTTCCTTACGGCGGTGGGAAGACTACTCGTGGCTCCAGGACTTGCCCACTTAGGGTTGTTTGTTTCTGCTTCATCGGTTAGAAAAATTGATTAATGGTGATGACGACATACTCTGTTTAGTTTCCCACGTGTCCTTCCGAAGTTATCAGATTGTTTATCTCTTTTCTCTTGACAGTGTTTAATAGCACCTGTAAAGAAACGTGGCCTTAGCACTATCCGAGCCAGCTTTATCTTTCAGTGTATCCACGATGAGTATATCTGAATGAGTATATGCACTGTTTCATATCTAAGCCGGCTTTTGGGAAGAGCGCTCCCCAACGCGCGCGCGCGCGCGCACACACACACACACACAGTTTATTCTGAGTGATACTTAGGACAATAGAAACGCTGTAGCAACCCACAGTTCTTTTTGCTAAGATGATCTTTCCGTGTATTTAAGTATTTGGCTCTGCGTATTTGGAAAGCATTTGTGGTAGGGTTTTTGTTTTTGTTTTGTATTTTTGAGCAGTCTCCACATTCCTGCAGGCAGCAACATCTTCCTATTAGCGTGAGTGGTGACACATTTTTACTTAGTGTGTAACCGCACCTATTTCTTCTCTCAAAAAAAAAGAAAATCCTAAGCAGATTTTGGTTACTTTAATAGAAGCGCACGGGTTTTGGGAAGTGATTCCACAGCCTTGTTTCACCCAGAGAAGTTGCATCGTTTTCTCATTGGCTCGTTAGGTTTTTACTCTTTTTTTCTTCTCGTGGCCTTCTAATTTATTCAGCTTGGATACCTAGTAAATACTAAGAATTACTAACTCCAATTGCGGTTCAAGGAAAAGCCATTCAAAGTAAGCTAGGGTGTATGTCAAACATACCCAACTTTTTAAAGTGTTAACATGATTTCCATACCTGGAAAATCAAAGTTTGTCTTTGAAGGGTATATTTTTATATGCATGTTTCAGAGAGATTTTTATCAGCCAGGAAAACTGTCCTCTGTGGTTTGCTACTTGCACAAAAGATCTGTTATTCATTAAATTGCTTTAAAAGGAATTCATGAGAGTGGTAATCACATTTCTAGGGTTTTTTTTTGTTGTTGTTGTTAAAAGTATGAAGATTAAGGGGAAACTAAAGACAGGGCTCTGGAAAGGCTACATTCCTGAACTTTATTTTTAAAAGTAGCTGATGGTCCAAATAAAAGAATTAGTCATTTTCAGCCTTTTCCTCATTGTTCATCTGACAGGGGTCTTATTTTGGGAAATATCTTGGCAGATGTTAAACTTCATTTTTGGTCAGGCTGCTTGTACTAGAACTGTTACTTCTCCAGTACCTTTTTTTGTTTTTAACAAGCGTTATGTTTACCGGGGGAAATAAGTGTGGTGTATCATGCGCGATCCTCAGAAATCTCCTTTGTTAATGCTCCTGCTTTTGGTTAGGGAACATAGTGCTGAGAATGTAGATCACTCCCCATTACAATTGAGTCTAATACTCTGGAATGTTTTTCGTTGGGGTGTTGGCAACTCCTAAATTTAATCTTCTTGAAAACAAACAACCCAGGGTACCATTTTTTGTCTGTGGAATTTGAACCTTTTTTATTGAATAGGGAATTGAGGACTGCTTTCTTTTTGTGGTAACTATGGCTCTATCTGTTGCTGTAGGATGCAACAAAACATGGTAATGTTTTACCGCAGGGTCTAATTAGCAGGCATACTTCTTGAGTGCCTCCTCATAGTTTTGTAAAAACAACTTAAGTTGTAAAGATTATTTTAATAGTGGTAAATATATGACACAAAACTTTAAAACTGGGGCGTCTTTATATTCTTTAGGTTTTTTTTAGAATTGTGCCATTCATTTCTCTTAGTTTCAACATTGAGAATGTCAGTTGGGGTGGAGTTTCTTGTGTAGATATAACAGCACTCTTGGTTTAAGAAGTCCTATCACATTTTACAAAATTTTCAGGTGTGTAAATATCAGAAAAGCAGAAAACTACCAATCTGTCAATATTCAAAAATAGACTTGTATGATATGTGGTGTTGAGAAAGACTCATTTTCAGACAGTATTCTCAACCAAGATTCTATTAGGACAGTAGCATACAAAGCCTATTCAAAAACCTATTTTTGTGGATGATGAACATTAAGTTCTTTCAAGAAGTATTTATTAAACATCTTTATGACACATTCAGTGTGACTTTCTTATTAGTTACTTATTAGTTACTTACTTAACTAATTACGGAATATTATAAAATTGTTGTAAAGGTACCTGACAACAGCTAAAGGTATCACAGCCACAGGATAGCATTAGCAGGGACGCAAGTCTGAAACTAGATATGGATGGGGATGGGAAGCTGTGTGGGATGGTACTTGGGATGACTGTACTAAAAAGTGCAAATCTATAGATGTTCATTAGTGAGACAAACTTTAGTCCTTGTTTACTAAGTTAGATATGTAAAACAATTTTTTTAAATTAATTTTTACTTTGTCTACTTTTTTGGGGAAGAGCTCAAATTGGCTTATTTGGTTATTCCTGCCAGTAATTTTGGTATACATTTATTAGATCAGTCAGATGTTTATTACATGTCTGTGTTCAGGCGCTATGGTAAGGACTGTGGAAAAAAACAGGAAGAGTAAGGCAGTGTCTATTCTCAAGAAGCAGGACTATAATCCGGGAAGAAGGATAAGGCATAATTATATGAAAAAACTTAAGTACTGAGTTAACAGTTGAAAAGCCATCTTAACACAGCAAATTGTTTATTAGAAATATTTTGTGCATAGGGGTGCCTGGCTGGCTTAGTCAGTGGAGCGTGTGACTCCTGATCTCAGGGTTGTGAGTTAGAGCCCCCACACTGGGTATGGAGATTACTTAAACATAAAAACCTGAAAAAAAATGTTTTGTGTTTAGAGGGAAGAGGTGATTGGGGCTGAGAAAAGCTACTGGTGATGAGGCTCTTGAGCTGAAACTTAGATTTCTGTACCTATATATTTATACATATATTCATATATACGTGTATATGTACTTGTTCATATAGTGTTTTAAATCTCAGAGTGCAGTGGTTTTTAATTGTAGAAGCACATTAATATCATGTGAGGATCTTAAAAAAATACTCCTCATGCAGAATACTTACCTTCTTCCTCCCTGAGCCCCTTTTGATTTAATGGGTCTGGGATGGATCCCAGGCATCAATATTTTGATAAGCTTCTCATGTGATTCTGCTGTGAGTCAGGGTTAAGAAGTATTGGGCTGCAGTCTGGGGATACAGAAATGAATAGGACACAGGCCTTGCCCACAGGGCCTCTCGAGTAATATGGGGAACTGTGGGAAGTATAATGTTTAGTACAGCCTTTTTCCTGAGCTGGGGACCTAACCTGAGGAGGAAGAGGGGGATAGTTGAGATCCTAGGCAGTACCACCTCTGTTCTCGGAGTGCTTATGAAGTTATTGCCATTGAATACGTTTGCATGAGTGGTTAACAGAGATGGTTAATAAAATATTTCAATAGGTAGAGGTCAAATGATACTGAAGTTTTGATTTAAATACAAAGTTAACATATATTGAAGCTTACTGTTTTCATTGTGGTTAGCTACGGTACTTTATGTTGTTTTAATTAATGCTCACAGCAGTCTCATGTGGTAGTTATAGTTTCTCTTTATATCCTCATTTCCAGAGGAGAAAATGGAGGCTTGACGAGTTTAAATAACTCAGGATCACATGGAAAGTGATAAGTGGTTAGAACAATATTTTAATTTTTTTTTTTTTTTTTGGTGTGGTTGTGTATGTGCTCATGCACACATTTTTAAGAATTAACCAGTTTTGTGTTATTTAGCTTATTTCCCTATAACTTTTTATTTTTTCTATAACTTTTTATTACAGGTTATCTTAAGTACTGTAAACATCTGAATGGAGAAAACAGTAAAAAGGAACTCATTAGAAATTAAGGTCAAATTTGTAGGCTCAGAGATTGCTTCTGACCCTCTAATCTCTAGTTTACTTGGGAAAATTTTGAACCCCAGGCCATCAGCACAATCTGTTTTTGGCTAGAAGTCAGAAAATGTGAATCTTTGTTTTTACTTGAGTGATAGGTTGTTTTTCTGTCAAGATGGGGTTAAAACACCTACTCCATAGTTTGAAGGAGTGTTTAATATATAGAAAGCATTTTTAAGTGAGCATAATTTTAAGTCATAATTATTCAGCATATTTATTGAACATTATATGGGACAAGTTCTACTAAGTAAACCATGTAAATCCAGGTAGATTAAGAAATGCTTTTTGGTATGCCCATTATATACCAGACTGTCTACCTTTCTATGTGATGAGTCAGAAGAGGAGCTAATAGTGACTCAAGGTTGGAGAAAATTGGACTTGTAAGTAGGGTAGATATAGTATAAACACCAAGGCTACTCAGTAAGATATTAAGCCCAGTTTTCCTGAATGTTTGAACTCATTGGTAAAGTAAATTGAAATTGAAATTTTAATATTAGGATTTGTAATGAGTTGTCTAAGCGGAGATGTCTTTTTCCATAAAAATAATTATGTAATTAAAGTAGATGGCATTTATGGCGTGCTTATTGAGTGCTAGGCACTGTTCTGAGCACTGTGTATGTATTGGTGCATTTAATTCTCACCACAGTCCTATGGGAAAATGGGGCAGAGAAGAGTAACTTACTTGCCTGAGGTTAGTTACTTACATGGTAAGAAGTAGAGTAGAGACAGTCTCCCTTTAAAAAAATTTTTTTTAATGTTTTATTTATTTCTGAGAGAGAGAGAGACAGACAGACAGACAGACAGCATGAGCAGGGGAGGGTCAGAGA